TAGGATACACATTCCATGTAGTATCAAAGATTCTAATGAATAGTAATCATCATATATTTAATCTAAGTAGAGGAATGTTTTCACTTTTTGTTATAACATTCACACAATAACATGTATTTTGATTTTCAGTGAAATATATATATATATATCTGTAAGGTACAACGACGTTGTGTACTGAAACAATAAACATTTAAGACTTGTTAATGCATCATTATACATAGAATCAAGTTTAGCAGAATAAATTATGGTTTCATTTCTAGTTTTAAATCCTAAATTGGCATTCTATCTAGAAAAATAAATTATTCAGATTCGACGTTGAATTAATACGAACTACTTGCGTTTTGTCTTTGTCAACAACTCTGTGATTAGTTCATTAATTTAGAGCTCTATGTTGAGAAAGCTCTTGATTGTTTACAGGTATATATATATACGCATTCATGCTCGTTTATAGGTGTGCGTAGGTGTAATATTAATAATAGCAGAATATCATTAGGCGTGTAAATAATTTTGATAAACATTGCACTACTGATTATGGGGCTCAGTAGTTGAATATCATTGTGGGACCTACTACTTACTGAAAAACTAGTAGTTTTAAACTACTTAATAATAGTAATAATAGTAACAGCTTTATTTCGAAAGATACGTTTATGCATCATACAGAATTTTCAGCGAGTTCCATTGCAAAGTCTGTTTGAATCTTCGTATAATATGATTATAGATAATAGGGATAATCTGAAGTCAGTTGTTGTTCCATCCGAAGTATGTTTCACTACTGCTACTCCACAGTGGTCTTCCTCGATTCCTTTCGAGGAATCTCTAGATAGAGAGATTTTGGAATTTCACGCGAGTATGCGAGATTGCAACTCATTGTTGTAATTACAAGAGTAGTGTAATTTGAAATGTAGTCAAAAAGATGCATTTTTATGGATAGAAAAGTTTACGTCGCTCAGTGATCTAAGCAGTCCACCACTATTTTCTACACCAAATGAAAGATTGAAGCCAGAGAATAGAAACTATTTAGAATATTTATTACTAGTAAGATACCTGGAAATTCCTAAGAGTACTAATGAGAATTTGTGAATGGCGGTGTCAAACTAGCCTGATGTGGTAACAAGATACGAGTGAATAACAATAAAGGTTAAGTGCCGCTAGATCGCGGACTGACAAAAGTTGGAATCTCCGCCTACTGAATTACCATGGAGTAGTAGTTCCATGATAACTGACTTACCCTATGACCATGAGGCTCGTGAGTCGTTCCCCTAGTTTCAGGGTAGGATGGGGTAATAGGTTTACGTTACTGGACAGTAGTAAGCTGGGGCCCAGATGGCAATCGTGTTCCCCCTGTTTCAACTGTTCTCCAAGTGATTTCGTGAAATGCATAAGTACGGGAAGAAAGAACGAAAGGAGTTGTATAATTGAGACCAACTAAACTGCAATGTCTAGTCTTTCACAAGCAACTTTAAAATGAATAGGAATTTAGAATAGCTTTATTTCTCTGACCAGAAAATAAGACTATCACAATTAATTTTTGAAAAAGTTTTTCAATGGTTTATCAGTTTATCTTTTCTCTTGAATTTGCTTTGTTCTTTTATCATGCATTGCATGTTACGTGTTGTCAAACCACATTATTATTATTACTTGTTCGTCTGTCGACCTTTCCATGTTCTCATCATTTAGAAAAATAACGACAGGAAGAGAGAAATACAATTACAGACATAAAATTTCTCCCTTTTTCCCTACTTCTTACATTCTAAAACATGGGAATTCAAAAAGAAAATCTGTTTTAAATAGTATTTGATGTTTTTACACATGTAGTTCCCCTGGCCAGATACTGTCCTCTGGCGTCTTTATTTTCACTTTTTCACTCATTTGTTTTGCTGTTCTGTGTTCTAGTCAAGTAATGACTAGATAAGAAGTGGTGCCTTTTTTTCTAACTTTATTTGCTCTACGTCATCGTATTCTTCTCCCTCGTGTACTTTTTCTTCATCAAATAGGAATACTCATACCATCGTTATAGTAATAATAATAATTATTACTATAACTATGACTACTACTACTACTACTAGATTTGAATTGGTGTTATTCTTCACAAGAAAAATATTCAAATCATAAGATAAATGTAGTTCTAGTGATCTGCTTTCAATATTTATGCAAATCAAATCATAGTAGATGGAAACCCGCAAAACGAAGGCTATAACTGACAAATACTCCGACGTATTCTAATAAATCAGCCAGACCTGATTTATCTCTTGAAGACAGACTTAAACGAAAAGAAGTTTTGTCCCAGCCAGAAACAAAACGTAAAAATGGTGAGACTAACCTTAAACTGGTGGGTTTTCAAATAGTCAGGTCTTGGAAACGTATGCTTCCAAGACCTGTGTGGATAGGCCAGACCGCATAGGAAGCCTGAAGGTAGTGTACACTAATATACGTAGTATCGGGAACAAATTTCACGAGCTAGGTGTATTAGTAGAAGACCTTAGCCCAGGTATTGTGGCCATTACTGAAACATGGCTGGTTTCGGGATTAGATGACACACCTGAGCTATGCGGATTTAGTTGCTTGCGCAGCGACAGAGTTAAGGGTCGTAGAGGTGGCGGGGTTGCTCTGTACATCAACAACTCCCTACATGTTCGTTCCGTGAAATCTGAAGCTCATGACAGTGGGACAGGTGAGGTAATTAGCTGTGAAGTAAGCTTTGCAACCGGCACTCTACTCATTGGAGTTCTGTATAGAAGTCCCTATTGTCAGTGTGATGACTTCATTTTAGATCACCTCAAACAATGGAGTAAACACAGTAGCTGTCTTATTCTAGGTGATTTTAATGCACCTCATATAGACTGGGTAGCTGTCACATCTCCAGGATCCGCTGATAAGTTTGACAGCCGGTTACTCTTGACAACCATGGAAAATGCCCTGACACAACATGTCTTAGGTAGTACAAGATTCGGTTCTACCCAAGGATCTTCCTTGCTGGACTTAGTGCTTACTCATGACAACGACGACGTGGATGGTCTAGTTATTCATCCACCTCTAGCAAACAGTGATCATGGGGTGTTAGATTTTAATTTAAGGGCTGGCAATTTAGTCAGTTTTCAACCCAAATCCCGGCCTAGTGTTTGGCATGCTGACATAGTGGCTATAAAGGAGCGTGCTTCAACTGCCGACTGGTCAGTCAACATTGTCTCATCCATTGAAGATGAATGGGATAGATTTAAGAATACACTTGAGAGGGTTACCACTGATCTCATCCCCTGGAGGGTTCCTAAAAGGCCAACAAATCGGCCACCATGGATAAATAGACAAGCTATAACACTCCTGAGACGGAGAAAAAGGTTCTGGAATCTCTTTGTTTCTACTGGGCTACAGCAGTTCCGGCTGAAATACTGTGAAACCAGAAACCAGTGTAAAACTTTGATCCACCAGTCAAGGATAGCTTACGAAACCCAGTTAGTTAAAAGTTCACCAGGCTGCCCAAAAAGACTCTTCTCATATATCAAGAGAAGAACACGTAAGAGTGATGCTATCCCACCTCTTATGCTTGAAGATGACCAGACAAACATGGCTGAGGATAACTTGACCAAGGCTGAGGCTTTGTCCAGGCACTTTAGTCAAGTATTCTCTGATAAAATTGATACCAGCTTTGTAAATTTTCCAGAAGGTAACTTGAAAATGGCACCCTTATACATTGGAAAGGATACTGTCCTAAAGTGGCTTCTAAGGCTCAATCCTGGTAAGTCCAGTGGCCCTGATGAACTCCACCCACGTATATTAACAGCATTGGCTGAAAGCATAGCCGAGCCATTGTCGGTAATCTTCAATATGTCTCTGGACCAGTCTAAATGTCCAAGAGACTGGAAAGATGCCATCATTAGTCCGGTCTTCAAAACCGGATCTAGAAACTTAGTTCAGAACTATCGTCCTGTTAGTTTGACCAGTATTGTTGTTAAACTACTAGAAAGAATAATTCGTGATGCTATCATTCAGTTCATTGAAGGGAACAAACTTTTCGCTGTGGAACAGCACGGTTTTAGAGCAGGTCATTCTTGCTTGACCAACCTTCTTTTGGCCATAGAAAGTTGGGCAAGCTCAGCTGATGCTAATATACCGGTGGATGCCATATTCATAGACCTTAGCAAGGCCTTTGACAGGGTTTCTCATTCAGGTCTTCTAGTAAAGTTAGGTAGTCTGGGAATCAATAAAGTGGTTACCGACTGGATTCAAGACTTTCTAAAGGACAGAAGACAAAGAGTACGAGTTAACGGGGTTTTATCAACATGGGAATCGGTTAAGAGTGGCGTTCCTCAGGGTACAATTCTAGGCCCACTTCTTTTCCTGATTTATGTTAATGAGATTCCATCGGTAGTTAAGTCATCCTGCTTACTGTTTGCTGATGACATCAAGATATGGAGGGCTTTGCACGATGACAGTGATCAACTTGCTTTGCAGGAAGATTTAAACTTGTTAAGTGATTGGTGTAAGCGCTGGGCCTTGGAGATTAACTTAAGCAAGAGTGTAGTTATGCATGTATCCCATAGTCACGTGCACAATTACTCAATGAATGGCATAACTCTCCCAGGGGTCACTGAGTACAAGGACTTGGGAGTGGTTGTGCAGCATGACTTGAAAACAGCAACAAACTGTAGAACTGCAGCCACTAAGGGTTTTAGAATGTTATGGGCCATACGCAAGGCTTTTGCGAACTTTGACGCTGATATATTTCGTATATTATATCCGACTTATATCAGACCTCATTTGGAATATGGGATCCAGGCAGCGAGCCCGTGTTTCAAATACGAAATAGACTTATTAGAAAGGGTGCAAAGAGTAGGAACTAAGCTAATAAAGGGTTTCTCAACCCTGTCATATGAGGAGAGGTTAAGTCGACTGGGTTTATTTCCACTGTCATACAGACGACTTAGGGGTGACCTAATACTAGCATACCGTATCCTAAGAAATGATTTTGGAGCTAATTTATCTAAATTATTTCTTCCTTCTAGCACCAACCAATTGCGAGGACATCACCTCAAGGTTCAAAAACCACGGTCGAATCGTCTGCGTCTGGAAATCCGTTTTTCGCATCGAATTGTGAACCATTGGAACTCCCTACCGGAACATGTCGTATAAGCGCCATCCGTTGATTCATTCAAGGCGAGATTGGACCTCCTTTATGAAATAAATCGAAAGGATTAACACAGGCATATAGCCTACTATCCTAAATAAATTGTAAACTGTAAACTGTAAATCTCGTTCGTTTTAATTAATTAAGAGATACTAGTAATAAATTTTGTAGAAAAGAAATAAACTGGCTAAATCTATGCCTAAACCACCTTATAATCGCTGAAAATTAGTAGGCGGCCTCGAACCGTGCGTGGTTCAGTCACACAAGGCTACCCATGCACCAACGTGGTCTCCGTAAGGATTACACATCGGTGCACACTTAAAATCCTTTTACCTAACCCGGTGGCATAAGCAGCAAGAAAGGAGCGAGGCCGTGAGTGAGATTAGCAACCACACCCCTTCGAATCAACACCACTGCTACTGACATTTAACAGCTGAAGTTTGAAGCCCTACGTTCCACTGGGAATGCAAAGGAATCGAATGAAAACTAGTCGACAGTAGTGTTTAGTACAAGTGAAAGTGGTCAGCGTTTTGTTGCATAGCTACAACTATCAACTGGTTCTTTTTGTGTTACAATCACTATTGGCACAAAGAAGAATACAACGTTTAAACGCTGTTGCATAGTAATTTGCTTCCCATAAATGCTGG